CTGGGGCCTCCTTAGACGTCGCAGTGTCCCCGCGACCCGACCTGGAGTCTCGAGCACTTCTTATTACTCCCCGAACACTTTGTCCGAGTGCCTACCCATCTCTCTCTGCCCAGAAGCTGCATCAACTCTAAACTCGCTACGCGTGTGTGCGCGATACAGGGACCTAGGTCCTACGACCTTTCTGGCCACCCTTCCTAACCTCTCGGGCCTCAATGTTGGCCGCCCCGGCCTCGGGTCTCGACTCCCCTCTGCTCCACGCTGGGAGGGGTGGGAGGTGGGGTGGTCCCAGAGTGCACCTCGGAGCCCAAGACGCCCCCACACACAGACACACATTTGCAGGTGAGAAGAGCACCGCCATCTGTCTTACCTCTCCCAGAACTGGAGGCCTGGGTGTCGTCCTTGCCCTCTCTCACCCTCCACCCTCCCTCTGTCGCCTGACCCGTCCATCTTCACTTCTGAAAGCTTTCTCTGATCTCTGTCCTCTTCTCACCACCCCCACGCCACCAGTAGATACCAAGGCATCCCTGTCTCTTCCCTGACTGGTGTGAGGATGTCTTTAAGGGGGGGGGGGGCTCTCTAGGCATGGGAGCTCTGGTAGCATAATGGCTAAGACACTTTTTTGCTAACCAGATGCACTCCTGGGAAGGAAGGTTGGGCAATCCTACTTCTGTAGTGATACTGCCTCGGAAACCCAAGGAGGGGTCACTATGAGTCCAGTCTGACTCGATGGCACATAACAACAGGCATAGCAGCCAGAAGGATCATGCCCACGCCACCCCTATTCCCCACCCCTACCCCCTAAAAAAACCCTGGAAGCTTCCTATCTGTCTCAGTGCCTTGGTGTGGACACTAAAAAACATCCCTTTGTCACCCTCTCTTTGGTCCCTCCCCACCCATCCTCACTCTGTCTTAGTTTCCTGGAACAAATCATGTTCCTTTTGCCACACTGTCGGTCTTTTTAAGCACTTACCCCCTACCTGGGTGCTCTTTCTCTACCTTCATAACCTGATTACCTCAGCTTTGTTCTCCAGTCTCCACAGCACGTGACACCACCACCATCACCATCAATTCTTCAGTGATCGCAGTGCATGAAAGCCTTGCCTGATCTCTCCAACAAGGTAAGAGGTGTTCATTCATTCACTCACTTATTCATTTGTTCAACAGCAGGGCTAGTTCAATATTTTTTTGCATGTACAATTCAGCCTTGTTGAAGAGACGTTATAAGAAGTTCTTATCATAACATGAGAATAAGAAGAAACCAATCCAATTTTAAAAATGAGCCAAAGATGTGAGTAGGCAGTTAACCAAAGAAGATGTGAATGTCCAATATGCACAAGAAAGATATTTAGCATCATTAGACATCTAGCATTTAAAACCATAATGAGGTACTTTATTGATTTATTAGTGGCCATTGAGTTGGCTGGAGGTTACGTGATTTGGGTGTTGTGCGAATAATGTATCATATATAATGTTATGGAGTTCTGTTCTTAAGTCTGTCTCTAAGTCTAGTTTGTACATAAATTGGAACAGCTAGGTATGGTTTGTATCTAACATCAGTTAGTCACATGCTTGTCTTAGTATATAGTATATATAGTGTTTATAGTGTACCTTTCTATGTATAAAACCATTAAAGAAACACTTCCAGATGCATTAAACTATCCTTAACATAATAATCATCATGTTTTGATGCATATTGCAAAGTACCACTCGTTTGTAATCATGAGCCATCGTATATCATGAATTTTTAATATAACAGGGTTGACAAGGGTTGGAACCATGATGTATATGTGGCCTGACGTTGGTTGCCTGAATGGACGGTGTGCAGTACATGATTTCATCAGAAAATTCTACTACACACTTGTTAAAATGGCTCCCAAACTCTCCCATGTAGTGGTGAGGATGTAGCTCCCCTGGAACTCGCATCCACTGCTGAGAGGTGTAAGATGTTAAACATTTTGGAAGTTTCTTAAAAAGTTAAACACAAGCCTATCACATCCCAGCCATTTCACTACTAGGTATTTACCCAAGAGAAATGAAAGCTCATGTTTATACAAAGGCTAGCACACTCATGTTCCTAGCAGCTTTATTTTTAATAGCTCCAAACTGGACACTATCAAATGCCCCTAAACAGATGGTAGAGCCATATGACACGATACCACTCAGCACTAAAAAGGAACAAACCACTGATAAATACAACAGTATGGATACATTTCGCAGATGTATTGAATGAAAGAAGGCAGACTGAAAAAGGCACGTATTTTGTAATTCCATTTTTTACAGAGTTTTAGAATAGTCAAAACTAAACTGTAGTGACAGAGATAAGATCAGGGGGTTGTCTAGGGTAGGAGAGAGAGGGTGGAGTGAGTGGGTGCGGAGGAGACTTTATGGGGTGCTGGAAATGTTTTCTATTTTGGTTGGGGTGATACATACGGACATACATTTGTCAAAACATCAAACTCTACACTTCGTTTGGATGCATTTTATTTTGTGTTTCAATTTTTAAATAGGGTATTGAGGAGAAAAACAAAACATGGTGGTGGCTGAGTTAAAAGGGCTGAATGGGCTGATACCCACCAATGGCTGGGTCCATTGCTCAGAGTGATGTAAACCGGTAAAGCCACACCAGAGTGAAAGCAAAAGTTTATACCTGAGCTGAGACAAAGAGAGAAATCCCCTCAGATTCAGTCTGCCTCTGGTTGCGTTCCAGATTTCTTTTATAGGGTGGGGATATCATCAGAATCATGTTATACAAACAATTTCATATGATTACAGATTATCCATGTGCAGTAAGGGCTACAAAGATGGTGGTCCTTAGATGTTGTATTATGATGTTAAATCTCCACCTAGGGGTGTGATTCTTAATATGCTAATGTCCCCTTTCATCCAGATTCAAGCTGTTCCTCTCGACTATTTGCTGTTTTTCCAGAGCTGTGTTTTACTTCTCTTACTGGGAGAAACACTGTAGAACTCCTCGCAGATACTTTGCATTCTTTTAAGGAAATCTGTGTATGTCCTAAAGAATATTGTACATTCCTTTAGGGAAACGCTGTGCATCAGAGCCAGGGAGGTGACTCCTTGGGTGAGGATGCAACATGGCGTGGGGTAGAGAGGATGGCTAGAGGGCCACATTCACTTAACGAGCCCCAGGGACTGTGGGACATTTGGGTGGTTTGTAGCCCTTTGCTTTTGCTGACACCACTGCAGGAATGTCCCCGATCTCCCATCATTTCACTTCCAGGCCGACTATTGCAGACAAGGAGCTAGGGGGCCTGAGGTCATGACCATTGGGTCTTTTGATGGCTGTCACCTTATTTTCTTCTGTAGAGGTCAAACCAGCTGACACCTACGCCAGCAGGTGGAGTACCTGGCTCCCAAACAGGGCATCTGGCAAGCGACAGTTATATCTCAGAGTTATTGTCGTGTGTAAATTGATTCTTACTCATAGTGACCCTAGAGGACAGAGTACAGCTGCTCCATAGGGTTTCCTAAGCTGTACTTTTTAGGCGAGCAGAGCTTCAGGTCTTTTTTCCCACAGAGCAACTGGTGGGTTCCAACCACCAGCCTTTTGGTCAGCAGCCAAGCACTTTAACCATTGCATCACCGGGGATCCTTGTATCTCAGAGTCGTTTTTTTGAAAATGAACTTTGAAACTTAAAAAAAATTGGCAAAGAATCTAGATGCAACAATGGGTCTCTCCTCGTCAAGAAGAAGAAAATCAAAATTAATGGAAACAATCAGTCCTAGCGACTGGTACACCATCTGATCTGCAACCTATACAACTATGAGACCAGAAGAACTAGATGGTGCCCGGCTACCACTGTCATCCACTTAGAAGGGTTGTAGGAGATCCTGCATAGAGAGGGAGAACAATGTGGAACTGCTAAAATGGCAAGGAGGCCACGTGTTCTGACCTCCTCTAATCCTACGAGAGGAAGACAGGATTACCAGCAGTAACCCAAAGCCTGTTACTGCAAGGCCAGACATGTTGCCTCCCTCCAGCCCTTTCACCAATCGTTCCTCCCAAAGCACCCACCACCTCTTTCCTGGGTTTGATAATTCGCTGCAGTGGCCACACAGAACTCACAGATTATGAGGTTTATTAGGGAAGCACCAAGCTACAATTTGAGTTCAGGAAAAATGCTCAGTCTCTCTCTCCAGCCCACCGTCCCTCAGCCAACAGTCTCTCACAGTCTCTTTCCCAGCAGTGCTGGTCCCTCGGTGTCTCACTCAGCGATGCGTGTCTCTCGCGTCTCTTTCCCAACACCACGTGTCTCCTTCAGGAACGCGTTTCTCTTTCGGCAGCAAGTCTTCCTCCACCAGCAGTCAGAGAGCCTTCTGCCTCCTGGAGGCCTCCTTTTGAGCCTGGAAGGGTGGTCAAACTAGCCAATCACAGCATCAGAACTCTAAGCACGTGAGAGAGAGTGGGAACCTCCCAGAACATTGTATTGTGCCATGCCCAACAGAAATAACCCAGGTGGGCGACTTTAAAATCAGGATCTCCTCAGTAGCTAATAGCAATTCCCACCTTGGAATTTACAAAGACTTATGGGTAGAAAAGCCACACTAAGTAATTTACCACACCGCAGGAACAAAACTCAAAATCATTTGGAGGCAAAAAAAAAAAAAAAAAAAGAAGGTGGGGACCAGGTTTGCTGGTC